TTTTGATTATAGACAAAGGTGGATATTTTTTATTTTTACGAATCATTATACAAGCCATAAATTTTAATTTTACAAATCATAAGTTTTATTTTAGATTTAATTATTTTAAATTATAATAATAAGCTATTGTTTCTATTTTTTCAAAAATATTAACACTTTAAAATCATAATTTTTTATTTATTTATTATCACGTTATTTTTTTTAAAATTTCAAAACAGTAATGATCATCATTATCCGTTATATCGAAATAAATTTGTTAATGTACGACATGAGAAGGTTTAAAAAAATACCCGGTATACCGAATATATATAAAAATCCACTATGCTATCCGTTAAATCAAGATAAAATAAAAAAATTCTGTTCCGAAATTTTATCCATTAAACCCTTAAATCCGCTAAATCGAAATCCGCTAAATCGAGTTTCACTGTGTAATGTGTACGCGTCGATCAAATAATAAACTTCTTTATTTTATTTTGTAAACATGTCTTATACAACAAAAAAAAGAAGCAAAGGAAAAGATGCCATAGAAGTAAAAGGGTAAGTATTTTAAGGATGGTGGTGGTAGTTATCGCCACTCGATGTCACTCTAGTTGTATATATGTTAAATATGTTTACTAGTTTTTTTACTTATTTAGAGTGGAATATGACGTTGAAATCTCCAATGGAAGAAAAAGAAAAGCCTTAGATCCTATAATTAAATTGTATTATTCTTCAAAGGACAAAATTGATTAATTAATGTATAACCTAATATATATTAACATTAATCCAATTTCTTAACATCAAGACCAATCAACCCGCAGATAGCAAAACTATTGAAATTGATTTTAATGATATGAGTAAAATTTTGGACCAAGGACCATCAGAAAATGATGTATGTGGTAAATTAAATTTCAATTTTTATAGTATGTTTACTAAGCATAAAATGTGACTATTGGGTATTTTTCTATGCTATAGTGGATAGTAGGTACCATTAATGTATCTGAGAAATTTAAGGGATTTGGATTTCCAAGATTAAAAATAAAAAAAGTTAGTTTTATTTTTGTGTTTGTAATTTTATGATAAGTTCTTTTGCTCATTTTCTGCAACTTCATATTATAGGAAAATGTCTCACAATTGGCTGATTCATACAAATATCCAACATTTACTACTACACCAAATTCATACACAAATTAGTTATGAAGAGTATAAGATCAAAAAAGAAAAATTTTCAACCAAGGAAACGAACCATTAGACTTTTTGGTAGAAAAAAAATCAAGAAAAAGAAGAATTGTTTTGGGAGAGAATTGGAGAAGAAGTTGATAAAAAAAATCCAACATTAGTCTCAGGTTTCAAAGCCGAGGACATTAATCACGCAATTAAAATCATTATTGAAAAAATAATATGATGGAAATAATTGGTTGTTGATGCAAGATTAGTTAATCAAAATTTTAGAAATAGTAATAGCAATAATGACATATTTAATATTTTTCTATTACATATATATATTTTACATTTATTTATCTTTCAAAAAATAAATATATTTGCTTTTTTATACAAATTAAAAATTGTATGCTATATTTTACCATTTGGTCTAAATTTATCGTTTTGTCTTTTCTAATCCTTTCAAACTAAATCTAATTTTAATTTTTGGTTTATTTTAATCTCTTCTCTTATATCATTAACATGATCCCCCTGTGACATCCCAACTACCATCTGACCCAACAACTTTACTATTAAAAATTGAAGAATCCCTTGAAGGATTGTGCCACAAGATTAAGAATTTTAAGTAAATTAACCAGCAGAGCTTATTTTTTAACTTTACTACCCCAACATATAGAAGTTTCTAAATTTCGGCAATAGTTTCAGCATTCATTTGTATTTTCGGCAACAAAATGCAGTTTTGGGCATAGTGATTGAGTTTCGGCAAAGTGACTAAGTTTTGGATTATTAGTTTCTATAACCTTTTTTTTCTGAGTTTTGGAATCATCACATTTTAGTTTAGGCAAACTTCTATACCCCAACACAACATGAGAAAATAGAAACTAATTAAGATTACATAATTATTTTAAAATTGTTTTTTCAAGTGAATTGTAATTTATCATTTTCAAATTATTTAATATTATTTATAATGAAATATTTTACAATTGACGTTTATTCATCTCACATTGATAAGTAAAATATTATTATCTGAAATTCTTGGTAATACCAATGTTCACTTTGTCTGGTTTTGTTGCAGTATTGCCCATATATATTAATATTATTACATGAAATCAAAAAAAATTAAATTAAATGTGTGTATATCTTTGCTACAAATGCTATGTATAATATGCTGTATACAATTAATACATAAAATAAACATTATATAAAATACATGAATCATATATAAATAATCTAGATTTAATCAATACTCCACTGTTATCATATATTATTATTATTAAAATTACCATCATTATTATAGTTAATAATAATAGAATATAAAAATAAAATTCAATTAATAAAAAATACTTAAAAAAATTTAAAATGCAAATAAACCTAAAGGATGATTACTAACATGTAAATTATTAGTACTTGATTCTTGATAATTTGGATTTTTTTGTCGTTGACTTTCTTCAAGTTTTTTAAGGAGTTTCCCATTATCATTTTGTATACCCTTATTTTTATTCTATATTTAAAAAACCAATTAATTATAATAAAAGAATTAGAATGATAATAATTGGAAATAAAAAGATAATAAAAATAATGGTATATGAATAACCTTTTGAAGACGTTTCTCTGTTGCTTCAGCGATAACATTACGTAAAGCTGATAAAGGGCAAGACTTCTTTAGCCACATGTCATGTCAAATTCTAAAAATAAAAATTTAAATTTAAATATGGAGGCTTGTGGTTTTGAATTCATATGGGTGGGGTAATGAATAAAAGAAACCAGATTTAGCAAGTGTAAAAAAAGATTGGAGGGAAGTTAGATTATGAATAACGCCATAATAGGCAAGTAAAGGGTGTGGCATCCTACAAGTATTTAATAATTTGTTTGTAATAATGGATGACAAAAAAAAACATCAACATAATATTATTATGCAATATTTTTTTTATTTTAAAAAGAATCATTGTTTACAGTATACACAATTAATAATGTCTGTGTGGATTTAGTGTGATATCATTGTGTTTTTTTTTTTTTTTGTTGTGCTGTGGTTGTGGAGGGAAGAAAGATAACACAACACAAAAAGTTTATTTGGTTTAATTTAATTTAATTTAATTTAATTTAATTAATTATAGACCATAAAAATAATGAATATAATCTTCTAACCTTCTAAATTATCTTCTATTTACTCTGGACATCTTGATAAAAAATTTATAATTGGAGAAAATAATAAATAATTTGCTCAATAAAATCATTGATTATGAATGAATCAAAGTAAAGTATTATTAAATAATTTTTAACTATAGAATAATAGCCTACGATTGTACTTATAGTATGGTAATAATAATAATAATAATAATAATAATAAAGGCAACCCTTGCAGAATATAAAATTTAAAATTGCAAGAACAAGAAACAATAAAAATGAAAACCTGATCTGTGTTACAAGCAATATTTAGGATGGAGAACTCCACTTTTTTAAATATATTGTTTATTGTTAAGATTTTTATAGTAGTACATGCATTTTAATTAGATTCATTTTCCTCAATTCATCCCGCCAAATAACATCGTCATCTAATCGTTATTATTATTATTTTATTCGCAATCGTCAATCATCAAAAAAACACGATACTGCACAAACAACTCTAAAAATTTTTACCGTTTGTTATCATCATCTTTCAATCCCACTCCCTTAACATTTTAGCTCATTTTAGACATATATAGTTATTAGTTTAGTTTGATGGATAGTTTTAATTGTAATAGCTTAATTTTATGTATTAATTTTTTTTTTTTTTTATAGTTTATTATATAGTTTATTTTATATAGTTGAATTACAATATTTTTAATTAATAATAAATATTTATTAATTTTAATTATTTATTTATTTATTTATTTATTTAAAAAACAGCTCCCCTCCTTGTTTTTATATTTATATATTTATAAATATATAAATTTTCGTTTATTTTTCCACAAAAAAATTTCGTTTTCTTTTTTTTTTTTTTTTTCATAAATTATTATTAGATAAATTATATAATACACACATATTATTATTCTTTATTATATATATACATTATACATTATTATACATTATACATATATAGTTATTTTATAAACATATATATATATTTTTAAAAAAAAAATCGAAAAAAGTTGTGCCTAGTTCATGACTTTTTATACAGATTTTATTATTTTATTTGTAGTAATAATAATAAAGGGTCTTTAAAAATTTTGTTTTTAAAACCGAAAATTTTTTTTTTTAATTCTGAAATTCTGGCAAAAATCTCGTATTTGGCAAAATCTTTTCTTTACATTTTTCTTTATATTTTCTCTTTATCTTTCTTAATTTTTTAAAATAAAAATCGATTTATTTTTTTCTTCTTTTTTCGGCAATAAAATGGCAACCACTCCAACCTTTTCTACTTTATATTTTCCAACTCACGTTACTTCTACATTTTCACCACTTTCACCACTTTCAAATCCACCACTACCACAAACAACGACAATGACAACAACAACAACGATGTCAACTTCTCAAGCTGTGGTTCCTCCTGCTCCTGCTCCTCTTCCGCCTCCATCACTTCAAAATAGCGTCTACTCCAGTGACCCACGCGCTCATCATATTAGCAATAACAACAACAATAATAATAATAATAACAATTCTTCAAATTCTTTTTATCTTCAGGTTTATCCCAGTAATATCAACAACACCAACATGATCAATGCTAACAATGCTTCGTCTTCAACTCAACAACAGCCACAGCAACAACAACAACAATTGTTAGCAACGAAATTATCAATTGCATCTCCTGCTTCTATTTCCACTGGTGGAAAAGAACAAAACTATTTCAACACTACCGCTAACAACAACAACAACAACAACAACAACAACAACAACAACAACAACAACAACAACAACAACAACAACAACAACAATTATAATTATAACTATAATACTTCTAATATAAATATTAATAGTAGTAACAACAACAACAATAATAATTTGTCTAAAAACTTTCTCCCTCCAATAAATACTACATCACAGTTCATTAGCTTTAATACAACAAACACAAACACGAACACGAATGCAAACACAAACATAAGCACAAACACAATCACGAATACAAATAACAATAATTTACTTTCATCATTTCAACACGATCGAATCACACCATCTTCTGCCTCTTTACTCAACATCAACACTAACGTCACTTCAATCAACAGACCTCGACTTGAGCATAGACGTAGTAGTGATCCGGTTTATCATAATGTGCACTCAACAATGGATTATTCAATGTATTCTGCTGATTCATTACCATCTCTACCTTTACCACCAAATACATTCACCTCTACTTCTACTTTAAACAGATATCCACATCATCATCAAAATTATAATCATTATCAATATAATCAATATAATCAAAGTAGTCAGCAACAAAAACAAAATATCAATCATGTGATCTTCTCTTCAACCACTACAAATAATAACAATAATAAAATATCAAAAAAATCTTCTAATCTTTCAAAGATATTAAGTAATGATGATGACGATTATGGTAAAGATAGGCGACAACCGTTTCACAAGATCAACACCAAAAGGTTTAAATGTGATGAAGATTTTGAAAGAATTGATGATGATGATGTTCTTAGAGATACTAATGGTAATCCATGTTGTCAGGATAGGTGAGTGTTACTTGGATAATAGAATAAGATATATGTAACATCATCGGTATATGGAGATATAATTATTTATAGATATATAAGTAGATGATTTACTGATTTCGTTTTCCGAAAATCTAATAATTTCAAAAAAAAACATATATACATATACACTTATTAATATTATATAGTGGAGTCACATACATGTCATCGATAGATATTAATAATAATAACAACAGTACGGAAAGCTCACCATCAAAAAGTTCTCCGATTACGTTAAACGATAGTAGTAATGACGACACTCAAAATAACAACACCTTTAGTGAACAATTACCTCAACAACAAATCTTACGTCAAAATAAAGGTTTGAGACATTTTAGTAAACAAGTATGTGATAAAGTAGAATTGAAAGGTGTTACCACTTATAACGAGGTACGCTTGGACATAATTTTTTATGTAGGAAAGAATTAGGGAAAATGCAGGGAGGTTTTGTCTGGTGGTTAATTAGTTGATGTTTTTTTTAAAAGGTTGCTGATGAACTTGCAGAAGATTTTGCTGCTCAAATGCAAGATATTGGTGGTGTAAGTAATCAATCAACAAATCAATTAACTTACCTATGCATATAATTAATAATTTTTTTATAAATTTTTTTATTAGCAAAAAGTAGATCAAAAGAATATAAGACGTCGTGTATATGATGCATTAAACGTATTAATGGCAATGGACATTATAGCTAAAGATAAAAAAGAAATTAGGTGGCTGGGTTTACCAGGTCAAAAAAGGAATATCAATAATATTAATAACAATAGTAAAAATAATAACAATAATAATTCTGGCGTTGTTGTTGTTGGTTGTGGTGGTTGTGTCAATTGCAGTTGTTGTATTAATAATAATAACAATAGTAGTAACAATAATAACAATAATGATATCAGCGATATTAATGTTAATTCAACTTTATTACCTGTGACGACTGATGCTGAAATTGAAAGACAAAAATTTGAACTTCAAGAGTTGGAGGTAAAGGAAAAATATATGAATAAATAGTTTAATAAAATTTTTATTAACTATGATTTTTTTTTACTGGAATTCAGCGACAAAATCGAAATTTAAGCAAGCAGGTTAATGATGCCAAAATTGCTTTTCAAAACAAAATTGCTCAAGTCAGTATATTAAATATAAATTTATACTATTAATTATTCAATATTAATTTTTTTTAAATACACTCTCACTCGTGTAACATTATAATAACGAATAGCACCTTCACATCTGTAATCTTGTGAAGAGAAATAAGTTAAACAGTTATCAATATCAATCCAATAACGGTAAATCAAAAATATATTTTCCATTCAAGCTTATACGTTGTCCGCAAGGAACACAAATTGATATTCAGAGTGGACAGGATGGGTAGATTATGTCTATAATAGAATATGTTATTATGTTGTTATCATAGTTATTATTGTTTGTCTAACACTGATTGATATATTACTAGGTTTCTTACATTTTATCCAAATAAACCAACAATACTTAATGATGTTGACATCCTACAATGTATTGGAATGGATAAAATTTCTCACGATGATATGCAGAGTTGGATTAATCCTGAACATTTAAAATGGGTCATCGCAAAACAAGCTGTCGATGGTGATTATCGTATAAATAATAATAACAATAACAATGGTAATAATGGTTTCAATGTTTTTGGTAGTGGTGGATTTGGCAATCCTGGCGGTGTTTGTGGAATTAATAATAACAATAACAATTATTGTGGACATTAATCATTTTCATCTTCGTTATCTATCATGTTGATGAATATGAATCTCTTTTTTATTACTCGACACTTTTTTTTTCTAAGCGATTTTTCTTTTTGAAGTATTTTTTGGGCTAAGATTTTTTTATATATATTTTTACAATAAGCTGTGTTTGTTTATAATAAACGTTTCGGTGTCTTTTTTAAGTTAATCGTTGCCATTTTAAAAATGTCTATTTTGATTTGTGAGAACATTTAATTTTATGCACAAAAAGTCTTGGGCTAAAAAGTCCAGATTTTTTTTTAGACTTTCCTTGTCAATATTCCCGCGCATTAATTTAACCAATCTTTTAAGAAAATCAATTAATGTAAAGTTTGGTTCACCAAAACACATATGAAGTAATAATTATTCTTTTTTTAAAAAAATGGCGCGGGACCTCTTTTGGAACAATAGAATAATATAATAATTATTTGTAGTTTTTCCGTTAAGATAATACCAATTTTAACAGAATCTATATTTACTATAACGATAGAAAGGTAGGACAGAAAGTAATTAATTGACTCACTCCTATATTTCAAAGATCACGTGTAAAAATCGGAGGTTTACTACGGCTATGCTAAAGACCGAAATTCTGTAATTCACTACTCAAAAAGGAAAGATGATAAGGAATAAACTTTATTAATCATTTTTTTTAAATTCAGGACCCGTGAGACTTATTATTATAATTATATTTTCGAACTGCATATTAATATTAATTAATATTCTGTCAAATGCCCCGTTGGTAAAACTTAAAAA